CGTGTGCTCTTCCGATGTATTGATTTTATCGAAATAAAGGTCATTATATCGAAATAAAGGTCATTAATATTAAAAAGAAAGCTGACAAAATTACGAACAATTTTGTTTTTTGTTGAAGATCAATACTTTTCAAGATAGAATTTTTTTAAAAATGTATTTTTTATCATTTTGGAAATAAACAGATTTTTCGTACTTTTTTCGTAAATATATCGGATTTGGCTGCTTCTACGTAATAAACACTTGTTATACTTTTGAAGATTATTAAATTCCTTACAAAATAATTTTTTACTCATCCTCGTACGACCAATAGTTTTCGAGATACGATTTTTTAAATGTTTTCTTTCATTTTCAAACAACACTTATTTCTTAATGTTTTTCAAAAATATCTCAGATTCGGCTCCTGGGCTACTCCTACGTAGAAAGTACCTATTATCAAATAGAAATGTTTTTAAATCTCCTGTAAAATTTTTTTGTTATGAACCTCGCTTGATAAATAAATGCTGAGATATAAATAAATTTTCTCACATTGTAATACATTTTAATAAATAACTTGCTTGTGGTTTATCATATATGTGAAAAATGTACACAAACAATCTTAAAGCTTATGAAATTAGCTTGAAAATCTTTTTTTTTAATGTACCCGTACGACCAATAGTTCCAATAGAAACATTTCGAAGTTGTTATGAGAATCTCAATTTACGTTCAAATCTGAGTTTATTTATCAGTACAAGTATATAATCAAATTAGAAAAATTAATATTAGTATTTTTCTCAAAGTTTATACGTATTTATATCCGAGCCTAGTCGTGTACCACTCTCCAAAATTTATTTTTGGAAAAACAGCTTCGAGAAAAATTGTCTTTCTCTCGAAGATATTTTTCCAAAACTAAATTTTGGAAACATTTTGGTACACGACTATAGGATCGTATATAAATACGTATAAACTTTGAGAAAAATACGAATATTAATTTTTCCAATTCGATTATATACTTGTACCTACTGATAAATAAACTCAAATTTGAACGTAAATTGAGAGTCCCATAATAACTTTAAAACGTCGTATCTTGGGAATTATTGATACGGGATTAAAAAAAAAGATTTTCAAACTAATTTCATAAGCTTTAAGATTGTTTGTGTACATTTTTTACATACGATAAACCTCAAGTTATTTATTAAAAGCAAGTTATTTATTAAAATTTATTACAATGTGAGAAAATTTATTTATATCTCGACAATTATTTATCGAGCGAAATTTTTTTTTGATAATGAGCTTTATTTCGATAAAATCAATACTTTCAGAAATATTTTTGAAAAACGGTAATTTTTCACAGTTTCTTGAAGATAAAAAGTTATGCAAGCATGCGAGCGGCCAGAACTTTAAATGTGTTATATAATATGCCATTTCAAACAACTTCCTGCAAAAAAATCTTCATATACAAATTTGCCGCCCAGATTTACAAAAAAATCGTAATTTTCCTGGGCTAATAAGAATGTGTGATAGCATTAGACTATTGTTTTTTATCATGATTTTTCCTATGCTTTCAATGTTTCCCCAAAATAAACAATAACCACTTAACTCCGCTTCAAAATAGTCTTTTAATATAATATATTATTTATACATATCAGAACTTCTTTATGTTAGCCGAAAAACAATCAAAATTCAACATCCTTTGTGTTAACATGCGTAGAAGTACTTCTTAAAAAACGTACAAGAGTAGTTTTCATCCATAAAGTTGTACTATTGCCTGTATAAAAAAATATTTGTTATTTTTCACTGTTCTACAAGTGTACTGACATTAAGTTCCAATAAATTCGTCAAGTAATACAAAGGTAAGTTTACTTGTCAGAACTTTAAACTGTTTAGCCTAGCTCTGTCCAATATTTTTCTTGCAAACTAAACGCTTCCACCCATAGATCTTACAAGTATGGACTGACAATGTGCTATAGTTTCTGCTGTAGTATAAAAAGCAGCGTCCGCACTGGAAGTTGGAGAGAGAAACATACTTTTTGTAATTTCTCTTTCTCAAAGTGTCCGGAAATATACATTGCGCATCTCAGTGAAACATATGGCGCATTGATCACGTGCTATGACACAACCAATGCGAGCATAATGAAAATATATGCACCAATCAGAATACATTCAATGTACAATATGTATCAACATGCGCGAAACATATTTACAGACACTAACAGAAAGAGAAGTACGGACACGACTTTGCTTCTATTTCCGGTTCATATTTATAAGGTCTATGCTTTCTCTTCATCATCTCATTGAGTGAGACAGAGAAAAAAACGAAAAGAATAAACGCTAGAGCTTTAGACCCAGTGACTGACTGTTCTACAGTCTATTCTTGTTTTCCCTCCCAGACAACACGTATGTCTCAAAGACGTCCAAAAGACGTCTTAAAAAAGACATCTTTAAGACTTTACTTAAATACGTCTTTAAGACGATTTTAAGTAAAATCCTAAAGACGTCTTTTTGATGTCTATTTTAAGACATTTTCCCAGACAATATGTATGTTTAAAAACGTCTTAATGATGTCTTAAGACGTCTTTCAGACATACATTGTCTAGGTTAAATCATATTTATTATAATGCAGTATATTTGCTTTAGCATATGTATAAATACTGTTTAAAAAATTATTAATTGTATTACATTATAAAAATTAATAACAGCTAGCTAGATTTATATTACTCGGATTTAACATTTGTTACTCCGCGCGGTTTCGGGTTCGTGCCATGCCGGCCATTATGTCATTCTCCAAACGATACCGTAGGAAGAAGATGTAATCTATCCTAACCGTGCACTTTTTACTCAGGTAATCTTATGTCTTATTGAATAACTTTTATGAATGTTACATAAAATTAATCATTTAGTTCATAAAAATATTTGACTTATAAAGTTTGAGGTTATTTTTGATTGTGAAATATTAAGATCTGTTTATTTACAGGCCGTTTACTGAATCTGTGCCAATGCATCGTCATTACATAAACACATCCAATGTAATGGACAACGATCTGGTAATGCATATGTACACAATTATAAAAATATATGTATATTAATATCTAGAAAATTATTGCGAAGATCGCAAAATAGTAGAGGACTTTTTTGTTCAGTTTGGTCCGTACTACCTGCTCACGAGCGCTGTACCATTGAGTACCAGACACCCTGTATATTTAGAATTAAATATCTTCAAAACGGTACGGTAAATGTCAATGAAATTTTTTCTGAATATTATGACTATAATTAACTTTCATATCATGTATCTATTATGGACTTGTCTTATATTTTATCAAACGCTGGAACCTCCTTAAAATAGACTGTATACTGTTGGAATAAACAAGTAATTCTCGTTCAGCTAATTCAAGTAATTGATTCGAGTTAATTTATATCTAGAATCAGATCGTACGTCTTGACGACGGCGGGTTGTTTATAATTTGAATATCGTTGTTGCTCATCTCATTTCTCAGAACGTAAAAAAGCGATACGGTAACGTTATCGTAAAATTGTACGTGAGTGATTGTGAATTGTGTGTGATGCGGTTTGTAAGGCCTTACAACATCCTAGAGGCATGAGGAATAGAAATAGGACAAACGACATGATAATTATAATGGAATTCTAAATAAAACGTCTGTAAAAGAATTATAAGGACAATCATCAATTATATGGTTCATGATCTAACAGATAAATTAAATATTAAGATAATTTAGTGTCAGATTAAATGATAATGTTTGATTTAATAAGAATGTCAATTATGCAATAATTCTTTACTTTATTCTCGTTTCCTATATTCTAATGAAAAATCTAAAATATCTCTAAAATATTAAGTCATACTGAATTTGCTTTGTGTATGCAGTTGATTATTATTTATCTTTAAATAAGGACCTTCTATGTGTCGCATGGCTTAACTTAAATGTGTAAAACTGATTTCTCATTTAAGTTTGAACATATTCTGTACATATTTTGTTCCTATTTGTCCACACTTTGTTTTGTTCCTAATTTTTCCATATACGAAATAGAAACACCAACGTTAGTACATATGCTTTTACTTACATCAACTGGTTGTGGTCCTGTAATTCGAGTATTACATGGAGCACTGCCTGCCGGTGCAGTCGATGCTCGGTGAAGAGAGGTCGCCGGTTGTGAAGGTGACATGTTTCCAGTCGCCGACAAACTGACCGGACGTTGATGCTGTTGACTCGTAGTGCCAACTACTCCGACTTGTAAACCGGAAGTTGTTGTTGCTGTAGTTGATGTTGCTATCGCTGCTACTGCTGCCACGCCACTTGACACTACTGGTTTTTGTTGCACTGTCAGTACTACTTGTGTCGATGCTGTAACAAAGTTTAAGGAAAAGATGCATTTAAAATAATCAAAATAGCAATTCTTTCATACATTTTAAATAACAAATTGGGTTGGCATCTGATTGACCACGTCCCGATACCATCAGCCACTCACAGCGCTTGAACAGTGGAAAATCTCTAGGCACCAGCCGCTGTGAGTAGTTGTGGTCAATCGAGACGTGGTCAAACATGACGCTCCCCATAAATTGTTTCATAAAATAATTTCTTGATGTCTAAATGTTAAAAAAAAATTGAACCTAATCTTGCCGCAGTTTAATGTTTAAAAATGGATTAAGAGTTTCTTAATTATATACAATTATTATTAAAATCTATATAATTATTTTTTTATTTTACTGACATTTAATCTTGGTGAAAATTTATGTCAAAGATAAAAATATTTTAAAATTGTACATTTTATAAGTATAATTACTCTATAATTAAGATGCACACTATGACTATGAAATGTTAACAAATATAATAAAATGTTTGTACAAATAATAAATTTTGATGAAAGTGTCAAATGCATTTACTCAATCAAACTTTCAGGGTTTATGTCTTAGAATTTTAGAAACATAATGGCAAAGGAATATTTATTAACAACCATTGGAAAGTTGAAATCCGTATATCTTTATGATATGGCACAAATTCTTGCAGACTTGCGGGACAATGTCCGGTCCAAGAATCTAATAAAAGCAAACTAAAACTTTCAATAATGGGTACAAATACATTTGTAAACCAAAATTGAAAATGTTTAGTTTAGAAATTTGCCTGACTTTGATGCTGTAACGAAAATGTTTTCTAGATCTAAACAAGGTTTCTTCTACGCCAAATCTCTGGTCCAAAACTTCCACTCGCTTCTTTCAATACCAAATAAAGAGACGATTTCAATTGTATGTATTTCCAAATTGAATCCACTTTCGTCTGCATTATATATTTTTTTTATTTTAAAAAGATCTATAAAAAGTTTAACAGCACTTATAAATTCCTGACATGCCATTTGTAATTGCTCCTTATCTCTTGTTGACGATTTATAAATTTAGTTATTTTTCTTGACACAATTCCATTTCTTCTTTTAAAATTTAATATCCATGTTGCTCTAGTTTTAAATAAAGAAAAATCGATTTGTGCTTTAGCTTCTAGCGCCCATCGTCGCAAATCCGTGTCATGAATGATTTTTTTTTCGTCATTAACTTCTTCAAAATTTTGTAAAACGTATTCGGAAATATATAACATTTTTTCTTTGTGAGTTCCTCCTTTTTGTACATAATGTTTCCATCTCATATAGTTGTCTCAAAGATGTCACCTTTTTAAAACTGTTTTTAAACTGTGTTGAAAGGGAATGCCGTCCCTTTTTTGAACTTTTCCAAAATTCAACGACTCTTCTTTTATAGCCATCATTGACAATATCTCTTTCTTCTGTACGATTCTCTTCTGTTTAATCATCATCTTCATCATCTTCTTCATGTATTTCGATATCGTCATCCCCGATAAATTGTGTATCAGATAAGTTTGATTCCCAATAATTTTCAAATTCTAACGTAGTATCGGTTTGAACATCAAATGTTTCATCCATTGACGTTTGTATAATATCTTTTACCATATCACGTAATTCAATTTCTTTATCGTTTACAGACGTTTCCGGAATTTTTGAAATTTGAAACAAAATTATTAGCATATTAAGAATATTCGCAGGATTTACTTGTAATATTTCGAATACTTGCACTTTTTGACTTTTACACTTATTCGCTAGATCGGAAGAGCACA